CACACCAGACCACTAACCCAGATGCGCTAACAAACAATCGTCGTCTGGACATTGTTTTTCATAAAAAAGAACATGACTTTGATTCCACAGTGCCCTAATGAAAAACAACTTTAATCTCCTTGGCAGGCTGCAAGACGATATCCGCATGCATGCCCGGCTCCACATCTCCCATGCGATTCTCCACGCTCTGAAACCTTTGAAACAATCGAACGAGCGTATACCCCATCTCCGTCAGCGCAAACTGCTGGCCGATGCAGATTCTCGGACCGCCGTTGAAGGGCACATAGGTCCAACTCTTGGGCGTCCAATTTTCCCAGCGCTCGGGCACGTACTTGTCCACGGCGGGGAAGCCGGTTTCAGGACCCGGGTAGAGGTCGGCGCGGCGCTGTAGGACGAGCGTCGAGTAGCCAATGGGTGTTCCGGCAAGGATGCCAATGGGATCTGTGCCCGAGGGGCCGCCGCCGGTGGGCAGTGTGGTGTCTTTTAGGGAGATGCGGACGTTGAAAGGGACGACGGGGTAGAGTCGCAGGGTTTCGTTCAAGATGTGCTGTAGGTATTTCATGTTCTTCAGATTCTCGTACGTAGGCTTTTCGGTCAAGCCCACCGTGTCGATGATTTCTTGGCGTAGTTTTGCGAGGATGGCTGGATCCTTGGAGAGGTGGTAGATGGTCCATGTAAGGGTACAGGCGGTGGTGTCGCGGCCTGCGAGCAGGATGGAAACTAGCTGGTCGCGCAGTATGGAGCGGTTACGGGTGTAGCCTGCAATGGCATGCAGAAAAGTGTATCCGGAGTCGTGGTTGGACTTTGCTTCGAGCTCAGCGGGGCTGAGCTCTAGGGCTTTGTCGATATACGTGCTGACGAAGTCGTTGATTGTGTTGATGGAGTCGTAGAAACCCAATCGTTTGCGGGGTACTAGGCCGTTGAAGGGTCTGAAATACAGTCAGTATATAATTATAATAACAAAGTGTGTGGTAAACATACCCAGCCCTGGCGATGATGCTCTGGATGCGCTGCGCGTTGCCAAATGCATCTGCGAATTTCGTCTGGGGATCATGCAGACTGTCCACACTTTGGCCAAGCAAGAAGTGGGTAGCAGCATCGAGCGTGAATCGGAACATCATATCCATTGTATCGAATTCCTGGCCATTCTCAATCTTGGATATGAGGACTTGGACATGCTCTTCGAAGATGTCGATGTCGCTCAAACGGTCCTTGACAAACTGAGGGCGGATGAGCTGCCTTGAATTGTGCCACAGCTCTCCGTCCGTAGTGAAGATGCCGTTGCCCAGAAACTGATGCCAGTCTTTTCTGAACTGCTCGCCCTTGCCATAGTCCTTGAATTGTGTGGCCAGTATCGCCTTGATGTTCTCTGCATCTGCAGTCATGATGAGACGCTCCCCACCTAGAGTTGCCTCGACGGTATAACGACCGGGACCGCCGCCCCACTTGTCGAACATGGCTGTCCACATTTGATACGCTGTATTGTTGAGGGCATGGCTGACGGCAGTGTACGCAATGTCGATTCCCCATGGGGCATATGCTCTACGAACAGGCGCTCGTGCGCCAAGCTTGCGAATTCGAGCATCGATGTAGAGATATCTGGTTATCTGGTAGCCTACGAGGAGAACTGCAGCGACACCAAAGAGGTAGGACGTGGATGGGTGCGTGGGTATGATTTGGAACATGTTGGGCCAGGCTTCGGTCTTTCAGGGTCAGCTCAAAGGAGGATCAGCCCTCCCTATGTACCATGGTGGATGGGCAGCATGCACATGCATACCTAGGATATTAATTGTCCTGGCTCAGCATCTGGAGAGCAGCCGTGGGGAAACAGTCGCGTTTCAACCGACTGGTCGCACTCGGGATGACAAGGAAGCCGAAGGTGTCGATGAGAAAAGCTCAAAAGGAGGGCGGTTCAGTGTCCAATGCCGATGCCGCGAGCTTGCCTGAATGCTTGCCCATATGTAAGCAGACTACCTAGTTTGGTAGACAACCCAACTATGGGCCTTGCCGCGTGGGATACCGGTACGCTCATAGCGGCGTGAACGTCCCATCGTTGCGTTGCACATGCAAACTCGAGTCATACCTCGGTCCCCAACGGCAGATCCCCCTCGTTGTAAGGATTCAGGACTCGATGCGCTTGAAACGGACAGGCCAGAGTAAGCGGGGAACGCCTTTCCCCTCAGGTGGAGAGACAAGTAGTCGGTTCCGTGGACATCTTGGTCTCCGAGCGCCGAACCAGATTACCAGAGTATTGCATACCGGTATAGGGTAGCGTCCGCATCGACATGCTGAAAGAGTGATGCTTCCATGATCCATCTACGGAGCCATGGTCAGCGACTACAGGCTTCAATTGATTGCTTGCACTGGGCTATTCTGAGGCTCCGAGCGGCCCGACGGACAATACCCATATCCAAGGAACCCCATATACATTACCTGCTCCCTACCTATAAGCGGTTGTATTTGGCCGCCTTGCGTACGAAAGGTTTGACTCGACTCTGGACTTGACAGAAACAATGGTGTTGGAGATACTTGGGCAGCCAGGCAATCAAGGCTTTCTCTTGATTTCTATGCTTTTTACATGCGAGGCTGATCGCCCAGACGCCATCGCAGCCTCAAATCATGTCCATCATGTTACCCCACTGTCCCACGGATCCGGTATGGACTATAAACGGTTAACCTCACGCGATACGGTGTGCGACCCCTACAGCCTGTCCTTGAATGCAACACTCCTGTTCGCCGCACGGTATTCACAAACGGCACACCTCCTCGTTATCCAAGCTCTGTTGGCCTCTCCTGAGATTATAATAGTCGTGCAGATCGTTTCATCAGTGATGAATAGTATTTCCCTTCCTTGCGCCAGTCTCATTCCAGCACGGGTATTCATGGGCCATCAGTCATTCCAGGAGACGTAAAGAAAGACGCCTGCTCCCTTGGATTCTTATATACATCGCATGCTACAGGCGCTTTCCTTATCTTCATCGTTTCTGTATTCTTATCTAAAATGAGATCATTACTTCCATTCCTCTCCTTCTTTACGTCGCTAGCGGCTGCCATTTGGCCCGCGCCTGTATCGTATGAGCATGGCGACACGGTGTTATGGATTAGCGGAAATGTCGAGTTCTTTGTACATGAGGGGGGCGCATCGAATGTAGGCTCAATTGCAGATCAGGCTCCCTTGATATTCGCTTCAAACTCTAATATCGGGCCCGAACCCCAGGATACACTCAAGCTGCGCAAGCACAAGCGCGACCTCCCATCCTTCAGCAATGCTGGCGTTGATGACGATACAGGGCAAGTGACGGGCCACGACATCATCGACTACGCCATTGATTCCGCCTACAAGACGATTCTCAGGCGCAACTTTTACCCTTGGAAATTCCACCCGCGAAACTGGACGGAGCCAAGTCGCAGCAGTGATTCAGTCCACGTATCTCGCGTGGACATTACACTGCTAACCAGTGACCCCGTCAACATTGGCAAACCCCTCGCCGGCGATGTCGATGAATCTTACTCCCTGGCCCTCTCCACCTCGGGCCATGCCTCCATATCTGCAAACTCCAGTATAGGCATTGCCCGTGGTCTAACCACCTTCACCCAGCTCTTCTATCTCCACTCCTCACTTTCCTCCACCTACACGCCCTTTGTCCCCGTCAAAATCTACGACGCCCCGAAATTCTCGCACCGCGGCGTCAACCTCGATGTCAGCCGAAACTTTTTCCCCGTCCAGGATATCCTCCGGCAAATTTCCACCTGCGCTTACAACAAGATGAATCGTTTCCACCTCCATGTCACGGACGCGCAGTCCTGGCCGCTGGAAATCCCCAGTATGCCAGATCTATCGGCAAAGGGTGCATATCGTCCCGATCTCGTGTACACTGCCGCCGACTTTGCCACCATCCAACGTCACGGCGCCCTCCAGGGCGTGCAAGTGATTACTGAAATCGACATGCCAGGGCACACCTCTGTCATCCATTACTCGTACCCCGACCTCATCGCCGCCTGGAACATGCAACCAAATTGGGACACGTACGCCGCTGAGCCGCCATCCGGGACCCTCAAGCTGAACTCGCCAGCCGTGGATGCATTCCTGGAGAAGCTGCTCGACGACGTCCTACCCCGCGTCTACCCATACTCCTCCTACTTCCACACGGGCGGCGACGAAGTCAACAAAATGGCCTACACGCTCGACGAGACGGTCAACAGCAGCGACACGGCCACTCTGCAACCCCTGATGCAGAAATTCGTCACGCGCAACCACGACCAGGTGCGGAAACGGGGACTCACGCCCGTGGTGTGGGAGGAAATGCTGCTGGATTGGAATCTGACGATGGGTTCCGATGTCATTGTGCAGAGTTGGCAGAGCGATGAGGCGGTTGCGCAGATTGTGGCAAGGGGCCACAAGGCTTTGGTAGGAAACTATAAATATTGGGTAAGTCTTGAAAGTATTTCCAATTCCCACACGGGGGGACACTCGTCTGCCCAACCATCTTACCCCTGTTATTTTTGTGATTTTATTTTCTTGCTTTTTGTCAACTCCACAGTAGCAGCAGTAGTAGCTATAACAAGAAACAAACTCGCAAGCTACACTCCACTGACCAAACGCACCCAGTACCTCGACTGCGGCAAAGGCCAATGGCTCAACTTCGCCCCCTCGGCCGCCGCCGACGCATGGCCCTACGAAGACTACTGCGGCCCCTTCCACAACTGGCGTCTAATCTACTCCTACGACCCCTTATCCGGCATCCCCCCGGAAAACCAGCACCTCGTCATCGGCGGCGAAGCACACATGTGAGCGACCCCCTCCCTTGCCCTTCCCTCCACCCACATGAAACCCCCTACACCTAACCAACCACCTAACCCACACAGGTGGACCGAACAAACCGACCCCATAAACCTCGACCGCATGATCTGGCCGCGCGCGTCCGCCGCCGCCGAGATCCTCTGGTCTGGAGCCAAAGACGCGCTCACGGGCGGTAATCGGAGTCAGATTGAGGCTGCGCCGCGACTGAGTGAGATGAGAGAGCGTATGGTGGCGTTGGGGGTGGGTGCGGAGTCGCTCCAGATGCCGTTTTGCAGCATGGAGGGGGGCTGTTCGTTGGGGGGTTGAGTGAATGGATGGATGATTGTATACATGGATGTATGTATGCTGTAGGAGGGGTCGGGACGGTGTGACGGTGGATGTGATTCGTAGAGTACAATGCTTATGTAGGGCCAAATGTAGAGTAAACTACCCAATAGTCAAGTATAGGGGAGTCAAGGCTCAGTTTGGTTGCATGTGATGGCCTTGAGAATTGCAATGAGGGCGCAAAGTGAATCCGATTTTCCGCCGAAGCGTCCGGTTGGAGGGCGAGAGAAAGCCGAACATGTTTGTATGGAGGAGCGGGACATGCGTCTTCTTGAGCCCATGCAATCATGACAATCATGCAACCAAAGTATACGCGTGGAGGTGGAGTTGGAAAAGGGTCGTGTTGGACCATTCAAATGTGCGTATCATGCTGAGTAGCGAGGGTATCCAAAAACGCCATCCAAAACGCCAAATCTCCACCGATCTGATGACCCCCTATTCCGCGCCCATGGGTCATGAACCCATACGTCCAAATCTTCATGCCAAAATATCTATACAAAAATGTAAGTTATAAGTGTTGTAAGCCCTCCTTCATATCCATCTTAAACCCAGTGTGAAATCATCTTCTATAAAGACGTCAACTACTATTCGTGACAACAAGACCCCCCCCTGACTCTCAAGAAACCAAACGTCTAAACCTCACCAGCCACACTCCCCACACTCCCCCCCAAATCCCAGTAGTTTCTCGACGAACTGCCACTCCTCTTACTCTTCTTGGTGCTCTGGCTCGCACAGCTTGAATTGCTTCGCAGCTTCTGGGAAGCATGCCGCGCCGTGGAATGACTTGGTCCTGCAGCGAAATAGGTACGATAGGCCTTGTGCTCCCTTGATGACGCAGAGGACGACGTCGGGAGCGGTGCATCCGTCGTCCTGCTAACCAAAGGGTGGTGTTTTCGAATGATGGCTGCCCGCCGTGCGGACGTTGGTTCGCCTGGCAGCGATACAGAGCCAGGTGGTGCATCTCTCGCATGTTGTACTTGTGGAGCCGAAATCCCAGAGCGATGTGAGGTGAAGCGTTGCAGCAAAAAGTTGAAGATCATCTTCACATCCAATTCGCGCTCCCAATACTCTCTTTCTCGGGCTAGATCTTCTGCAATGTTCGTTGCGGCAGGGGGAAGGACCTCCCCACGACCCGAAGCATGGTTCGCATCGACTGCCTCGGGCTCTTCTTCAATGCCCCACAACGATGCTTCGCTGTACATGTGCGATGTTTGGATCGGAAATGTGGGTGCAAAATGAGCCGAGGCAGGAGAAGAAGTAGAGTTTCGGGCGCTAGCAGGCAGACGGGAGGAAGGGAGATGAGTTGATGGAGCTGTAGCAGTGCTTGAGGCTGCTATGCTGTTTGTCAAGCGAGCATAGTCGGGGGTTGGCACACTGTGTTGGTATGTGGAGAACGCGCCTGGATGTTCGGAAAGCTGGTGCACTAGGCTACCAAGCTCTCGAGCTACTCGCTCCAGGAGCTTGGTTTGCCAGGTGTTCGAGAGGGTAGAGGCGTTTGTGCGGGCATCTTCGAGGGCTTGATTCGCCGAGTTTTCGAGTGAGGATACTGGTTCTGATGTCATTGCCTCTTCCGGCAAGGTTTCGCCAAAGATGACGGAAAGTGTGTCTTCGTCTAGCCCGATGAGGTCGCGGATCACTCTTCGTGTTATGCGCTGCCAAAAGGACAAGTTCTCGGTCCCCTCGTCAGACGAGTCACTGTGGGTGCTCGTAAGTGACGGAGCCGCCTTGGATGTGGTGGTTGTAGTCTCTTGTGATGTGGTGCTGATTTGGCTGGGTGCAGTACTGACTGTGCTCATGCGCCGTCTTCTTCGCGTCTCCTTTTCAATCTCTTCCAACAGTGCCTTGCTCTGCTCTAGCCTCCATGTCTCAATACGCTGCCGCCGATCTAGCTCGGTGTTGCTCTGTTCCGAGTCATCGAGAAGGTTGAAATGGCGCTGTACGCTTGACCGACGTCGAGCAGCACGGCGCCGTGGTCTCTCAAACTGCCACATGTGCTCTTGCATGGTAGCATTGGGTTGGAACTCGCCCAGCCCATCATGGGTTGGGAGTACGGGATCAGCGCCCTGTTGTAACCTGCCTGCAGGTGCATGATAGTCTGACGGTTCGTGAAAGGCATGCAGTCCATCGTCGAGGCTGTCCAGCTCCTCCTCTGTGCCTAGACACGTGCCTTGGTCGTCGTCTTGGTCTGAACGGGCAGCCGTGTCGAGGGAGCCAAACTCGCTGAAGCGTGACAGGCCAGCTGTGCGCGGCGTTCGCTCCGTCGACGTCGTCTGTGTCTGGGCGGTAGTGGAGGGTGCGCCAGGAGAGAAGAGAACCCATTCTTCGGACTGTTCTAGCGGTCGCTTGAGGTGTTGCGAGCTAGTCGTGACTTTGGGGGCGGGCTCTGGTGCATGATAGGAGATTTGTCGAGTGCTCTGAGGTCGGTGTTGCTGTGCAAAGGCCATGGTTGCCCACCAAACTAGCGTGTTTCTGTGTAGCTATGTTTTGGTGGTGAGGTGGCGAGTCGACTAGGAAAGTAGGAGGTTGCGACAGAAGATAGGGCACGAGGGTCGGCTCTCGAGCAGCGAGTAGCGTACTTGGAATGAGAGAAAGCCAGATAGGAGGAATGGGTGTATAGGTATCAAGGAGAGGGCCACGGAGATGACTCGGACGAATTGTCGAGTCGGAAGAAAGCGTCGCAAAACAAGGCGGCGTGTTTCTATCGTGTCATGAATGGCATGCTTCGACTATGCGGCCTGTGAATGAGCTGGGTGGCGGTGTGAGAGGGGGGTGGGTGGATGTGATGGGCAGGTGTATGAATGATGTACAGAATGTGGCTAGGGTGCGCTAACACGTATCCAGCGTCCCGTCTCAGTTGGCGGGTGATCAGACTTTAGAGGCCCTGGCAAAGCAAAGACGAGTTTGCTGGCGAGCAAAGCTATCAAGAGACGCAGGCAGGCGGGCGCAGGGTGGAAGCAGGAATTAGAAGAGCCAGGGTGGGTGGCGGCAAGGGGGGTTACGTGTTGCGGGTTGCGGTGTGTATGTAGTACAGCAAGCAACAAGCAACAAGCAACAAGCAACAAGCAAAGCAGACCCTTACTGCAGCTTACACCCTTCAACTGCAGCTTAGCATGACCACCGGTTGACAAGGTTGTGTATGGGGAGAAGATCACGTTTGCGATAAGATAACGGTACAATACAGAGGTACACATGCATAGAGTACTAAGTACTACATACCAAGTAAGTTAGTAGTAGGTAGCTGATAGCGAGATTGCCCACTAACTGGATTAGGTTCCATTACGCCACTTTACCCCACCAATGGCCAAGACTAAGACTGTCGAGGGGTACTGAGTGTATAGTACTGAGTACTCTAGAGTACTATACTCTAGGTACTCTGCTCTATTTTACCGCCTTGTGCTTACTACTCACTCACTCACTCACTCACTGCACAGTCATGTCATGGCATGAGAAAGCGAAGAACAGCAACCACCTTCTGCCCAAGACCTGCCCTGCCCCTGCGTCCATGTCTCGCAGCCCGAAAGAAAAAACCTCGGGGCTTCTTTTTCCATCATCGCCACGTCTTCCCATCTATCGGCTTACTCATTACTCACCATCCACCCTGTCTTGCCCGTCACAAACGTCATTCTTCCTCCCCTTCCCTCTTTCCCCCGCCCATTTGGCGCCTCACCCGCCTAACTTGCCATTCCGGGGAGACACGCCACCTGGTCATGGAACAACTCAACTGGCGTAATACTTGCGTGGCATCTGAACCATCTGAAAATTTCCGAATCCTGCATAACTGCACACAGACATGATTCGTAGGTACCTGACAGGATCCATGATGATCAAATTTCAACCACTACCTCCTACGCACCGCGAAATGACCCACCACTCATCACACAGTACTACTAGGTATACTCTACAGTGCATACTACACTACAACATATCGTCATACATCATCATCAATGGCCCCCAACGCCCAACCAACGCCAAACATGTGTGCGACGCCAAACGCCGCTCCGACAAAAAAAATATCCCATCGTAGGCTGCTTGCCTAGGTACACCTACTCCTCATTTCATCTCCGACTCACAAGGCAGAGTCATAGTCTGCGCCCCACAGCCGTCTGCCATCTTCCTCGCTCATCTCTTCCGCTTCCCCGAAATCGGCCCATCGCTTCACTTTCATGCTCTTGTCCCCAATCCTCTTCTTGAGCATACACTCACCATTGCCTTGACAGATTTCCTGTCGTCCAAGGTTCTTAAATCGGGGTCCAAGTGGGCCATTGACGTAGTGATATTGGCCCAAGAAGCGGTATTGTCGTGGGTCGCTGAGCTGATAGAACTTGTCGCCCCAGTGGCCGCCAAAGTAGAACCAGCTGACGGGTGCAGCCGGGTTGAGTTGGGAGGAGAGGAGCGTGTCGTTTTGATAGTCATACGTGTAAGAGTACATGTTCTGCACGGGATCCCAGAGGGGTCCGCGGTCCGTCACGTCGTGCAAAATGCCGCCGGGAAGAACATAGGGGTGAAGACCGGCTGTGGCATACATGGCATGCGTCCCTGAGGCTGAGAAACCGATGGGCTGTTCCTATTAGCACGTGACCTGGCCAACTCCATACCTGCCTCTTTGTCTACTTACTCGCTTGCCACTCTTCTCTACCGCCTCCCACGTGTACGCTTCACCGAAGCTGTGTTCACTGAAGAAAACAGCCTTGGGCTTTCCGTGGTGGAAACGAATAGTCGTGTGTTCCCAGTCGCCAATGTGATTGCCGAACCGCACGTTGAAGACCGCGTTTCCGAGGTTGTAGCTGTAGAAGAACATCCAGAAAGCGTCCACGACACCATCCCCTTTAGGCACTACAATCAGCACTACAGGTGCCTCACTTCTGCCACCCACCACCTTCTTGCCCGTCACCTTGCGATTGCGCTTGCGCACTCGTAGCTCTGGCTGCCAGACTTCGGGAGCCATGGTAGGTTTGGGAAGAAGGGTGGAAGAGATGGTTCGTATGCCGCCCTTTTCGTCCGTGTCTCCAATACCAACATGCCACCAATCAGACTTCTCGCCCTCGGCGTCCTCGTCAAAGTCGACAGGCCGCTCCCTAGACTCTCCCTCTTCACCCTCGTCAGTTCCCTCTTGAGGCACGTTGGGAATGTTGCTCTCGCCCCGTAGCCAATCTGGGTAATCTTCCACATTGTCGTCACTCTGGAGATATACGGATCGCCCCCACTTATTGAGCTGGCCTAGATTGGAAATAGTTGGGTGATCATCCGTCGCCTGTAACGGCGTATAGTTGAGGTGTGGGGTAGTGTGAATCAGATGCTCTGCCATGTCGCCTGGCCAGTATTGCTCGCCCGAGAACAGATGAATCAGAGGCGCATGGTCTAGTACATATTGTGGGATCTCCCGCTCCTTCTGATCCTCCCAGCCCTTGGGTATATTCCGTACATCGTTCCAGAAGTCTGTCAAATTCACCCTGTCGGTTTCGTCGTCAAGCCTCTTCTGGGCTCCCGATTGTGAGGTCCAATCCGCCTGGTTCAAGTGAGCCAGCCCACACATGCCAAACCAGCTACAGGTCTTCCGGTCCAACCAAGAATGTGATGACGCGACCCATGACTTCTCGTCGAGGCGCTCACCCCAAGGCGTCAGCTTCTCGAAGAGCGCGTGCTGATATATTTGCGAAAATGAGAACAGTCCAAAGAAAGTCCCCGCAGCGGCGATGGCGGGTCTCCTGCCCTTCATTTGTATTTCCACACTGTTGGACGACTCGTCGTCCGTGGCGTCGGTCGTATGTATGTTCTGGAACGGCAGCCGATGCGCTGAGGGTTCGGTGGGTACATGGATGGTGGGAACGAAGTGCCGGTCAGAGGCGTCCTGCGCAGCATCTGACTCTTCTTGGGAGGGTGGAGAGGTGTGGACTACAGCCGAAGGGAACTCGGGCAGATTGACTGGAGTTATGGACGAGGATGGGAGCGATGACGGAGGCAGGACACGGAGCGGGGCCTGCACTGGCCCATGTTGAAAGTATGGAACGATTGGCACTGCTCAGTTAGCATGGGCCCAAGATGCTCACGGCAGAAACTTGATGGGCCATGGTGCAAGATCCAGTCTGTGCATGCCGCATGTGCCGGTGCTGACAAAGTCGAAGAGAGGCCAGTACGAGGCCCAAGTGGGAACATCTTCCCAGCTTACATGAATAAACAAGGGGAGGAAGCACCGGAAGGCCAGCGAGTTGGGAATCCAGGGTCCGGCCAGACAGATGGAGTAGGAGGGCGGAAGTTGCGGAGACACTTGTGATGACATGAAGTGGCCATGAGGTGGCCGGACATGCGCGGAACTCGACTTACTCATGAACAGCTACACGGCCTTGAAGGTGCCGAAAACCCGGCTTGGGAGGGAATCGGTGCGAGATATAATGCTGAGGATAATGCGACGTACTGCGGTGTACCCTACGTAGAGAGAGTGTGTGTGTATGTGTATCACTGCGTGGAACATGCATGGGCTGCGTTGGCGCTAGAGGACTAAGCACGCTGGACGGTGGACGTTGCGGGCTGGGCCTACGTCGCCTCCCGTTTAACCTGGGGGAACTGCACGGGACGACGGCCCATCGAGTACAAGTATTGTATAACTGTGGATTGACCTCTTTCATGCACGAGCGTCGCAGCCCTTTTGATACCTACATTGTGTGATTCAAGTTTCAACTATAACCCACCATTGATACTATGTACATACTTGTACTCCCATGGGTCAGTCAGACTTGATTGATTTGCCACGGTCTACCCGTAGATCCAACGACATAGCACAGACAGACTTGTTGCTGTTAGGGAAGACTAGCACTAGCTATTCACACAGCCCTACCTAGGGCTCATCTCTTATCTAGAAGAGGGCCGAATTAGTAGTAAAAGTCAAAAATATTATCTATGGCTAGTAGGAATTAGGTTCAGAACTTCATATCAACCTGGCCCTACCGGGCGCATAGTGCGGTCAGATATATCGCAGCGGGTTGGTGGACGATGGATGCGCAAAAAAGATGTTTCAATTTGAGACATGCAAAAAGACACGTTCTCCGCTCCCAGAATCGAACTAGGGACCATTCGATGGTCTGAATTTAACTATTACAGTCGAATGTGATAAACCAACTACACCAAGCGGAGTGATGCAACCAAAGTTGCGCTTGCTATTGGCGATGGAAGATTTTGTGGGAGATGCTTATATATATTTATGGAGAATCAGCCTTTTAGTGCGCCACTAGCCCGCTTAGCGCTAAACGCTCGCCTCATCACTTCGCTTCCTTGCTCCTGCCTCCACACCTCCCTTATCAACACAACATGACTCGGCCGGACGACGACGAATGGGAGTACGAGTATGACGAAACTGAAACTGAGGATATCTATATTCCTCTCGATCTGTCCAATGTTCCAGGTGTGCAAGTACCCTTGGTGTCGCAGGGCAAATTTGGCCATCCGACATTGCTCAAAAGCAGGCTCCGTGCCTTGACTGCAGCTCGCGGTCAACCAACAGAATTCTCTATCGATATCCCAGAAGGACAGGAAAACGCGACCATGGGCGAGGTTCAAATCACTGGCTTACACACAACCAATCCCTTGGTTATGTACAATGGCCAACTATTAAGCTGCCATTGGACCGCCACAATCGGCACCGATATGTTCTTTGTGAAGCCTGGCACGGGTGTTGGTGAGCCTCTGCGCTCTTTACCATCTGTAGACCTTATATCGCTTGGCTCTGCCAAATTAATCGCCAAAGCTGCCCGCCTGCGTCCACGAGATGACCTCTTCGAGGATGCCAGCAATAGTCCACAGACTTCGGAAGAGGCTGTCGCTGTCAATCACACCTACCTACCTCAGGGTTTGACTTCCAAGGCTATGCCAAAGGAAACACCAATTACCCACCAACCCTCAGAGTCAGCTTCAACAAGCTTTCTTGCAAAATTGAATCTAGCAAAAGAGAAGAGAGGGGAGAAAACCCGCCTGACCATCTCAAACACCTCAGAAGGCAAAAGATTGGTACCGAAGCTAGTGAGTGATGAACCTCGCGCCGCGAGTGACGGATCAAAAGGGTCGGGCAATACCACGATGGGCGGAACATAGAAGATAAGACCTTTTCACGATATCATTGAGAACCACTTCCTCTCTGGATACCATTGAAGAAAGCAGAACCCCAACTGGGCTATCACGGCCAAAGGGGACGAGGAAAGAGCATGTCCTCGAACCCGATAGCATCTCATTCTTTCCCTTTCGGATCAACGCTGATTACATCTTCCCCGGTGATGCACACGCATCTGCACCTACCACCCTTCTTCCTCGGATAACACAGACTACTTTATCAGTTCGACCTAGGATAAATCGCCCACGATCGTCTATCACTACACATGTTATCACGCTTGCATTGTTCCAGAGATACTACCACCTATTTCCTGGAAAACAAGCCAAAGAAAGATAGGGGAGTCGAGCATCCTTTGATTGTACGCATACAACTCTGGTCTCAGGTCGAATGCGCGAGGAAGGTAGTACACGCTGCGATACATCGTGCGCCACCAAAGAGCATGAGTCAATGACGGAATATGTGCAATCTAACGCCCCCCTTGTCTTTGAAACCGGAGACTGGGTTCGTTTTCTAGCTCAGGATCACTTCTGTACTCCAAAGATGAATAGGGATCTGGAAGTGAGAGATTATCTAGACAGATCACTATGCATGGCTCTGACAAGGATAGGATCTCCCTACCGCCCCTCAACTATTCGCAGAACTACACTATTCCAATATGAGTATCGTATCAAAATTTCTCTATCTTGCGATGCTTGTCACGCTGGTCATAGTGATCTCACTCCGGTTGCTTGCATCTTGCTCCACCTTCCTGGCACCCTCCAGCGCCGAATACCTAGGCTTGTATCAACAGCCCACTGAGAGGCAGTTCGTCTTGATTCTGCCATTACATTCACAACATCGTTTCACCCCTGTCGCTAGCCTTTATGTTAAAGGCCCTTTAAAGGCCGCACCATCGCCCGACTTCTGCGCCTTTCCGTCACCGAGACAGACAACATTGGAGCGCCGCGTACCCCGGAGGAGACGAATCAGCAGCAGCGAACATATTTTGAGCTTCTCAAGATATGGTTGGACCGATGGAGCCACGACTGAGATATTGCCTGATGAGATTGCACGCAAGCAGCCACAAGATGAGAGTAGTCCACCTGTCAATTCGCATGCCACCAATTTCGCAACACAGAGATCGCAATCTCCTGATAATAATGGGCGTATTACACGATGGCACGATATCTCGAGGAGCTCGAGTTCAGTGGATAAAACGGGATTTCTCTCAAAATTGACATGTCAACCCTCCACGTCAAAGCATGCAAAGCAAAATCCAAGAATTCGAGTTTTAAAGCTCCTGAGAAAGGATCCAATACGGTCAGACCAAGTACCCACCACCATCCGACCCCTACCGCAGTGTATCAAGTCAAGTAAACTACAACAACTCACTTCAAAGGCTGTCCAACGCATGCCTTCTGCCATTCGGATCCGCCGAACCCAATCTGCACCACGAAACGTAGCAGAGAAAGCCACACAGACGGCAAAAGCCTTACAACCGCGACGCCATTCATCGGATCCCTCCACCAGAAGGTCCTTGACCCCTCATTGCGCAATTCCCCAGATCCGCCGGATCTCTGCCACACCAGCTGCCAGCAACTGCCAGTACGCTTCCACGACTGGTTCGGTACGTGGCTCCGGCCGCAGTGAACTTTCACCCACTCATGAGCCCTTTGAAGAAGCTCGACGTAACCAGATTGAACTCTGGCAATCCAAAGCATTGTTTCCGCCGCAGCAAATGAAGAACACACCGCCCCCATCTATTCGATCGTTCACTAGTTCCTTCAAGACAAGGCGGCATACTTTACCGGTGGGCTATCTCAACCGCGTCAATTCTCACGATCACGCTTCTGACAAGACTGAGGACCTGGGCGTTGCAGGGAAGGGGGTTTGCGCGCAAGATTCGCTAGTGAATAATTGTCCTCAATTGCCCATGGCTTCGAGTACTATGCCGTATGGTGACGAAGAAGACTCCAGCGACAGTGAATTGGGGCTACTGAAGAAGCGGAAGAGTATATTGATTCCAGATAGATCAGAAAGCAGTGCCATAGCAAAATTGTTTGGCGCCCAGGGTGGAGGGTCACCTCGTCCATAGAAGTTGTACGCACTACCATTAGAAAATATCCATCCATCCTCCCAGCGTAGAATCGTTGTAAAGATGAATCACCTACGTCTTCCTACGGACCTTGCATTTAAACAGGCCGTCAACTTATATTCGCCTGCAAAAACAATATCCGACATTTTACAAAGCTGCAACCCAGCTGTGCTACCGAAGATAACTCTACCACCACTATTCTCGTCCACCCCCCTTTTTAGAATAAAATCAATCCTCTAGGCAAAAAACAGGCCGCACGGAATAACCTACCCACGACATATGTCATCTCCGCTGCTCTCTCCTCTATCGCAGAATCTTGCGGTCGTAAACCCGCACCCCAAGTCCCCTTCCTACCCAGCATCACCTCAATACACACACCCCCTGCATCCCCAATCACCGACCGCCGCTGTGAGCGATATATCGTGTATTTCGTACATGGAATGCTATCTACCTACCACAGCACCCTACGCACACACAATCCACACCACAACACAACACACCCGGCCCGACACGCTTACCCATCCCGGCCCGACACACGCCGCAGGGACCAGCAACTACAATACCTGGTACCCAACTAAGTATGCACCTACCACAACACCAACACCACCTACTCAGGTACTATACTATGCCATGTACACGCACAGACAAACAGGCGCGCCACCGTGTCCCCCGCGAAAAGCAGGGAGGTGGGCCGATGTGGTTGGGTCGTGAGCTTATGTGCCGTGGTGCATGTGTATGGTGGGTTGGGAGCGGTGTGTGTAGCATACATACATTAGAAGTACATTGTGTTGGGGGAAAATGGGGACAGGGCTAAGGGTGGGGTGGGTTTTGTGGGTGATGACGCGGAGGTGGGTTGGCTGTTCTTACTGGGTTTCCTTGGGGGGGAGGGAAGTGGGATGGGTGGTATGGTGTAGTGGCATTGCTGGATTCCTAGGTTGGCAATGTCTTGGTATGTGGACATGGTACGCGGTATGCGCGATGATGACAAGTGGCCTACATGGGCCTGAGTGACGCGAGGCCGATTAAAAAAACCATGGCGCTATTTGTGATTCCAGTGTGCGTGGGGGGACAAACAGGGGAAGTTCTGTCAAAAAGAACCGGTATGATTCTATCTAGGATACCCAATATCTCTCCAACTCCAAGCCCCGTCGCAAACGCTACACATCCCCTATCCGTCTAACCCCCAGCCAAACCCCACAAAAGCAAGAAGAAAGCCAAAAAAAAAGCGCAGGCGAGTGAGATACCGACTCGCTGGTGTGTATCGTCTAGAGAAAAGGAAAGGACGTGTGGGGGAATCACAAGGAAAAGCAAACAAGATCCAAGACAAGAAATATAGAAAAAGAAAAAAGCAGTGAAAGCTAAACCCGTGCGCGCGATCCGCGCGTAGAGCTAAAAATGTAGTAAATCAGATATTCTGGCGGCCGCGAAGGCGTCTCCTATCTGCCTGGTCTCGCTGCGAGAAAAGAGGAGGCAGAGAGGAGAAACTAAGCGGTCAAAAGGGATGTAGTAGAAGGTAACCCGCTCGCTTAATGCACACCCATGAGAAGAAGAAGGGAGAAGATAAGAAAGCCCAGTCGTAAGAATCATCGAACCATGCAAGCCTTTCAAACCGCTTAGTTCGACCGCTCACTCCCCGTTGGCGACCGGCCCTCCGCAGGCGTCGAGGGAAAGGAGAAGTCGACGGGTGATGGGGGTGGCGCTGGGGTCTCGTAGATGTTTGAGGAGCGCGATGGCAGGGTGGCAGCGGCTTTGAAGGCTGCGCTGACGTCGCGGCCGAGGGTGGAGTTTGTGAGGATGGAGAGGCGTTGGCGGGGGTTGAAGGCTGAGGCGGTGGCGGCGGGCATGGTTGCGGTGGAGGATTGGTCTTGATTGTTTGTAGGTGTGGTTGAACGAAAAGGGACGTCGCTTGTTGATGGGTGTTGACGACGGAGTTGGCTGCCTTGTAAAGTTGTATTATTCAGGACTGGATTTGAATGACTTTCGACAAGGCAACAGGCGACGATGCGTGATGTGGTTCCAAGTATAGTGGAGATGGAATGTAGGGGTAGGGCGCAAGCAAGTTATGGTGGCTCAAGACTCCGCTGGCAATATCAAAGGATTCGGGACTCAAGTCTTCCAAGAGACAAGGAGAGAGAGGTTGATGATTATGTATCCAAATCTCGATATACGGGCCTACGGCGCAAAAGATGAGTCAGATTTAATATCAAGAGTTGCGACAGAGCTGATACCGTGTCGTCGTCCGGCGGTGCGTTGGCAAATGCCGGATTGCCCGATGAGCAATTGGCGGAGCCCCGGACCAACGTGCAAGTATAGACAGGGCTGGAATCGGGGCTGACTTACTCGTGCTAGGCTCGCGAGATAATGTGAGCGTGGTAGCGTGGTGTGGTTGGTTGAAAGCAGGGCGAGTGTAACCGTGCAAATGGAAGCGAGGTGTATTTGTGTTATGAGCCGGAGCGCAAAGAGTCGGACTGGGGGGGGGGAGGGGGAATGACGGCGATGGATGAGCAGAGGCTGACACGAGGCTTGACGAGCAATGGAGACAAGGATATACCGGTAAAGCAGGAATAGGATGGGTGTGGATGCCGAGGGAGAAGTAATTGTTTGAAGGAAACCGTCGACAGGGTGGCCCAAAGGGTGAAGCCTTCTTATAGCGAGAGAGGCTGCTTCGCGATTCACCGCCGGATGCTGACTCGCAGCGTTTAGGCTTCTTGGGCGCCGAAAGGGAATCACGCATTGGGCAAAAGCAAAAAAGGGTAGACTACCGTGGCGATTAGCAAGTAGATGCCAGCGGAGCAATTCACGGGGAAGCGGACGCGGACGGTTGCGCTCCTTGCATCACTCCGTCGTTGCACTTGGGATAAGCAAAGTCCACCCCACGCCCCAACCTTGCGAGTACCAAGGCTTCACGGGCGACTGGGGGGTTCTCTTTCTTTCTTTCTTTCTTTCTTTGCTTGCTTCGATGCAAACATGCAGAGAGACGATGCCGCATGTTGGACAAACACTGGCGCATTGTTTGGGGGCCTATCCGTCGGCGGCCTCTTACGCATTCCTGTCATGGCCATGCAACGCAAGCTACAGAAGCAAGATTGTGGTGCTGTGGTCGACCCGGGCAGAAAGCAAACCAAGTGGTGGCCGCCGTCCGCGGACAGGATGTACAAGTATGGTAGAGTAGCGTAGCCAGCCGTGGTGGTTTCATGGTAGCTGCTGGTAGGTCCACGGTGACTGACGTGGGAGACACAGCAGCGAGTTGGCAGCAAGTGACATGCTCTCGTTCTGGCCTTCTTCTGGCAAAGGCAAAGCAAGGCGCCAACCATGAACTGATCGGGAGCCTGCTCTACCTACCGTCCTCTCCGAGTAGACTACCAGAGTACCAAGGTTGACGGGCAAGAAGCGAGGCCAGGGCACAGCAGTGGTAGCGTCTGACCGCTCCTTGAAGTCGTGTCCAGTGAAAAGTAGAGGATTGTACGAGCGGTTGTCGCAGTCGCCTCCCTCCCACGCGAGGCGTGCAAAGAGGATGGGGTAAGTGGAGCCCCCGGGATGCCGTCCCCGGATCCCATCCCGAGCCGCCGGATTCATCCACCCCCCAAGCCGGCTGGAACGCGTCTGGAATTGTGAGAGAGACGAGCATGGACCGCAGGATCAGCGACACACACACACACACACACACACACACACACACACATCCATGCCCTATCACCAATTCCGCCCTCGATCGATGTCTGTCGTGCTTTTGCGAGCGAGTCAATGCCCCTGGGTTATCTGCCTGATACAAAGCATAACTGTCCATGTGTGGCTGTCGGTCTACCTACGGCTGCGTCTTTTTTTCGCTCTGTCCACCCTCGATCTTATTGTATTTGGAATCCTAGGGCGTGTCGCAGCCAGAGTCAATCCGGCCGAAATCCTCCTCCCCAAGAGCGCAAGAGGCGTGGGCTTCGAGAAGATGAAAAGGAAAGAAAACGCTCGAGCCGACGTCTGTCCCGCCCCAAGACCTTCTGCCGTTCCACGTCTCCATTTGACCCTTTTCATTTGCTCTAATCAGCCTCTGGGCGTCCTTTATTCCCGTCAATCTGCCTGTAATCCCTATTCTGGGTTAGGAGTGTCGAATAAGTGACAATCCCAGACCCCCTTCCGCTCTGTGTTTGCACCAATCCCCCCCCCATTGCGCTCGCCCACGAACATGGCCAGCAGTCCGAAAGCGCTCACATCGGAAACACAAGCAATGTCTCTACAGATTCTGCCAACAACAAAGATGCAAAGGCCATTCTTGTCGTGTCCCAAGGTTTCAGCCACGTTTTCACTTGTCCCCCGTTGTTCCCCTCAGGACACCGAATCGGATCCCCAGGACATGGATGCTGTCGCTCTATCAAGCCTCATTTGTTGTTGCACTCTCACGTCACACAAATCGCCCCTTTCCCGACCATGCCTTCCCGGGTCTGCTGTGTACCCAGGTAGGTAGACTTTTACCCGAATTTTTCCCTGTTGCTTTGCATCCTACGACATCATATGTATGTAGGTACCTATGTGCATACATACGGTCCTCTCTGCTGTACATCGTACGCGCTCCGCTTTCCCCAGATCAGACCGTGTGCCAGAAAAGCCTGATCTGGGGAAATTGACTACCCTTGCATAGAGTAGTAGGGCTGGCTGCTAGTAGGTAATCCCCCCGTCCCAAAAGTGCAACGTCGCCTACCGTCGCGGACTCAACTTACTTACCTATCCTAGTGATAGGTATGACAGTACGGCGACTAGTCACAAAGCTTGACTTGCCTGTTCTAGGCATCACCAGTGCGGTCCTATTGACACGGCTTTAAGCCCAAGGTTCCTTGCGCTTGAGATCGAAAAGCGTCGTGTCTCCGTGTCAAACCCGCACCCCATCATCATCGGCATCATCACAACATTTTTTTTTTCATCCTATCCTACACTACACATGCAATGCATGCATGCATGTACGCGCTTCACCATACCCAATCGCTCTCTTCACCGCAAGTCCCGACTTCTACTTCCCCTTCTCCCCTTCTCCCCTTCCCCAGACTGATCGTGATCGTGATCGACAGCGCTCACCGCAAGTTCCGCTGCAGACGCACACACGCAAACAACGGCAAAAGCATGCGCGGTAGATCATATGTATCATTGCTCGGCCCGCGCGGAAACGGCGTTGACCGGGGGGGGGGGTTCGAGAGACTCCTTCTGGGCCTTTGTGCGTCTTTGTTTGTCCAAGGCGGGCACGGAGTTATCATGACAAGGTAGGTACATTGACACCACCACAAGTACATCCTACCTAGAGTAGTGGTGCTCTCCAAGACTACCTAGGCATCTACGCTTGGCTTGCATCGAGGTCTAGCCCATGCAAGTCTACCGTAGATGATGAAAATCTGCTTGTTAAAACATGTGCTATAGGTCCGTCGTCTCTACTTCGGCAAGGTAAGCTCCCTACCTAACCTCGCCGTTGCTATCTTTTTGGTCATTTCATTCCACCAATGTTGCGACATGCCGCTAGACCAACGTGCAGGATTGAAGATTTCTTCCTATTCGCCCAATACATATCGAGAACAGGGGAGGAGAACTGGCTGAAGAGGGTATATTTCGCAACATGTATTTCGGATCCATTGTTCTCAAAGTGTGTATGCATATTCACAAGGTAGGATACCCGATCACGCCGAACTGCCAAACCATGCTATGTCGTTCCATCCTTCACAGTCATCACCCCGCATTTACTTCTAGCTTACAAACAAATACTCCAAAGCTAGGATGTAGCAGGTCGGAGAGGAAGGCCAAAGCCTTCTGGCGTGTCGACACTCTCCCCCTTTTCCGCGGAATCTGTCTCCTTCGCGGCCTTGTCGTCTTCTTTCACCGGTGCCGAGTCGCTGGCCTCTGGATTTGCTGTGCTGACCGCGCCAAAGCGAACCTTCCTGTCTCCGCTTTCCGATATCCTTCTAAGTTCGGTGACAAACGACTCACCCCACCAAGCACTGTCGCGTGTCAACTCGAAGCACAGGCTGCTGGAGGTAAGGATACTAACCTTGTATACTTGCGCACGTATTTGCTCAGCTTTTGGTAATTCAAACTGCGCTGTTCATCTCCCATGGTAACGGCGTCATGAATGGCATCGGCCAACTCCTCTGTGTTCCAGGGGTTGACAATCAAACTGCCATTGAGACTCTGTGCAGCACCGGTGAATTCTGATAGAATCATGACACCATGGCGCTTCTCCTGTGTTGCAATGTACTCGTAGGACACCAAGTTCATCCCGTCACGTGTCGAGGACACGAGGCAAACATCAGAAACCGAGTAGAGGGCAATCAGCTCGTCAAAGGAAACAGATTTGTGCATGAAGTGAATAGGCATGAACTCAATGGTACCAAATTTACCATTGATGCGTCCGACGAGCTCGTTGACGACGGCGCGGAGGTTCTGGTATTCCTCGACGTCCTGACGAGAAGGGACAGCGACCTGAACGAGGACGACTTTGCCAATCCATTCGGGGTGTTCTGTGAGGAAGACTTCGAGTGCATGAAGCTTCTGAGGCACACCCTTGATGTAGTCGAGACGGTCCACACCAACAATAAGCTTGACGCCCTGGAATTTCTTCTCGAGGGCTGCTATGCGCTCCTGGACCTTGGGTTTCTGGAGGCCTTCGTCGAACTTCTCGGGGTCGATACCAATGGGGAAGGCACCCACTGTGACGACCTTGCCTTGGAACTCGACACCGTTGGGAGTGGTCGCCAGGCCCAGTATACGTGAGCAACTGCTCAGGAAGTGACGGGCATAGTCGTATGTGTGGAAACCAATCAAGTCGCAATGTAGCACGCCAAGAAGGATTTCGTTTCGGACAGGTAGAATGCGGTAGATTTCGGAGCTGGGGAAAGGGGTGTGCAAGAAGAAGCCAATCTTGACGTTCTTCTTGGTCTTGCCAATCTCTTCTCGCAACATGGCTGGCATGAGCATAAGGTGGTAGTCGTGCACCCAGACCATGTCGTTGTCTTGCACGTCCTTGGCGACTGCTTTGGCGAAGAGACGGTTTGCCTTGGTGTACCCATCCCAGGCAGACTCGTCAAATGTGATCTCACCTGGGTGGTAGTGAAAGAGGGGCCACATGATGGCGTCTGTAGACCAAGATTAGTGGCTTGGAATGTCAGGGAGTGGGCATGAGGCTCTCACTGGAAAAGCCGTTGTAATGTCGGTCTGCCAGCTCGTCGTCAAGCATGATGGGTACGGCATTGTACTCCTTCTTCAGTTGGTCTTTGAGGTCGGACGCCTCGTCATCTGGAACTTCCAGACCGGGCCAGCCGTACCATTGGAAGGTGGTCGTCTTTGACAGTCCACTCAAGCCACTGACGAGGCCCCCTGAGGACATGGACATTTCGTACTTGCCCTCATCGGAGCGCTTGATGGTGATGGGCAGACGGTTGGAGACGAGCAGTAGGCGGCCCTCGTTTATGGCGTGGCGCACAAGCTTTGTTGGCGCCGTCGCCATGGTGTGCAAACTATCGGACGACGGAGTCTGTTGTGTGGCGCGTTGTGTTGTGGCTGGCTATGTCAGTTGCGACCAGGTGCTGCTGTAGGGCGGTCTGGTGGGGAGGTTGCAGGCAGCAAGGTGTGCACTGTATATAGTGAAGCGAGGGTGTGGTGCGGGCGGATGACAATATAATTACAAGCAATGCAATAAAACTGGGAGGAGGGGCCGAGGAGAGTGGGAAGCAGGCTCTTTTGTGGAGGGCAAAGGTGACGACAGAAGGATATTGTAATTCGGTGAGGGCCCGCCGAGTGCAGGAGTGGGGAGTGGGTTCTCGTAGATTCTGGGGTTCGACGACGAGCGATGGCCAGAGAGAGAAGTCGAGCACGGGGCAGGAGTAGAGCGTACAGCGTAGACGGTAAAAGCCGACCGACTAGCTAGTACACAGGACACACGGTACTCTAGGTGCGGCTGAGCGTCAGAGGAGGGGGATTGAGATGGTGTGGGTGTGGGTATGGGTGTGGGTATGAGTGTGGGTTGTGTGTTTGTATATGCAGCGTGGACACTGACAGGTTGTGTGGCTGACCGGCAGGCTTATAACAACTTCTCTTCAACGGGTAAAGGAAGGCTCGTCCTCTGTCCTCTAGACACCATGCGACCACAGACCACAGCGATGATGAGTTATGACGTCGGCGAGGGGTTTGTCTGGGCGGGTGAAAGCCGCCTGCAGTACAGTAGAGTAGGTACTTGACAACAGCACCAACATCAGCAGCACCAAGGTTGATGCTGTTGGACGAGGCTACCCATGTTGGCACCTCTCACAAGTACTACCTAGGTAACAAAAGCAACTTTGGGTCTGATATCATCATCATGTGATCCATCTGCTACACAAGTAGCTACCCATTCATCATCATCATGTGATCCACCTGCTACACAAGTAGCTACCCATTCATCATCATCATGTGATCCACCTGCTACACAAGTAGCTACCCATTCATCATCATCATGTGATCCATCTACTACACAAGTAGCTATTCATCATCATCATCATCATGTGATCCATCTCCTACACTAGTACCTACCCATTCCTTCACCGTAGACAGAGCTTAGCTACCTACTACCTAGGTACACACCACCATGTATCCAATAACACGGTAGTATGTTAGTACAACCTTCTGCACTCTACAGGAGCTACTCAAGGCACCAGCCACTCCCCCCGCAGAAGCACGTGGTTTGGGTTCTACTTTTTCGTTCCCGCACCTGGGTGGGCACACCACGCTAAAAGATTGCGCCGCGTCCGTCGCGTCCTCAAGCCTATCCACGTCCAGAGGACCCCTTCAATTCGACCTTGGCTCAACAGAACCGCATTCTAGTACCAACAAACACCCTCGCTCGCGTCAACAAGACCATGTCCGACTCGGACCAAAACTTGCCCTCCGAGGCCGCCATCGCCACCAAATTACGCGACATCGTCATTGCCATCCACAAGTCAGGCAACACGGATGATTTGACCGTCAAGCGCGTACGGGCGCGCGCCGAAAAGGAGCTGGGCTTGGACGACGGCTTTTTCAAAACGAATCCAGTCTGGAAGCAGAAGAGCCAGGAGCAAATCGTCGAAGCTGTCGTACGTATACAAGTTTATGATGCCCTTCGATGCTTTCCAACATGAATCACTAAGTATTGCACAGGAAAAGTACTGCGACGCCGACCCTTCACCACAACCGACACCCAAGAAAGCCGCTTCGAACCCCAAAACGAAGCCCGCCGAGAAGAAAACCAAGGCGGCTACTGCGAGCGCTCGCGGCGTGAAGCGCAAGGCGGCTCCTGCAAAGAAACCAGCCAAACGACAAAAGCCCTCTTCAGACGATGATTCCGAGCCCGAGCTGTCAGAGCCTCCTGCTGAAATATCGGCGGAAGAGAGCGATTCGCCGAAGAAGCCTGTGCGACGTGGAAAGCAGATTGTGACAGAAGACTCAGATGAGGATAATGATGATGTGTCCAAGGCTGCGCCCGATCCAAGCGTACCTGCTACCGACGAGGAAAGCGGCGTAGAGCGCGTAGCCCCAGAAAAGAAAGCAAAGACCGAGGCTGTGGACTCGGACAGCGACCTCTCCAGCGTCATCGACGAAGAGCCCGTGAAGAAGCAGCGCAAGAAGAAGGACTCGGCCCCTGCAGCGAAAAAAGCGTCGAAACCCAAGGCCACCCAAGCCAAAACGGCCGACGATCCCGACCAAGCCAAGATCAAAGAGCTACAAGGCTGGCTCGTAAAGTGCGGCATTCGCAAGGTCTGGTCTAGAGACCCAGAGCTCTCAAAATGCAACACGGCCAAGGAGAAGATTGTTGTGCTGAGGAACATGCTCAAGGACGTGGGCATGGAAGGCAAGTTCTCGGTGGAAAAAGCTGCCAAGATCAAGGAGCAGCGCGAGTTTGCAAAGGATCTCGAGGCCATTCAGGAAGGCGAGATGGCCTGGGGGAAGACGTCCGAGGTCACGAGTACGGGGCGGCCGAGTCGAAGGGCTGCTGCAAGGCCAGTACCCGTACAGAAGATTGTGCTGGAGGAGGATAGCGAGGAGGATACAGAGGGAGGAGGTGGGGCTGACGAGTCGAGTGAGGATGACGATGTCCATCCCGATTCGGACGAGGAGAGCGAGGGCAAAGACGATGATAGCGGAGCAGATGATTCGGACTAGGGGTTCCTTGTTCTCATTTTCCAGCCCGTGTATATATAATTGCCCTTCATCTGTTACGCAGTCTTTGATACCCCCAAAAGTAAAGCACGTAGGTGTAAAGGCGCGATACTTTTCAGCTCGCCCACTTGATATCCTACTCCCAACGTGAAAGAGCCCATTTACTCCCATCGAATCGGCCGCCATGGGTATCCTGATCCCTTTTGACTCCATTGCATCGTCCTCATCAGTTGTCATTCCAAACGCCCGTAAATGCATGAATAGATAGACTGACACCATCCTTAACGCCCGACATGTATTGCCAACCACCCCATTCTGCTTATTCCTCAGCACCAAAGTCCTTGGGCTCCTTGGGCTCTTGGGCTTCATGGAACTGAATGGCATCGTCAATGTAGCTGAGTATGAAGCCCAGACTATCCTCGTCCTGGACATCCAGTTTGAGGAAAGAGACCATGCTGAAGCCGTCAATGAGCTCCGCAACGGCCTTGTTCAACTTGTGGAAGGCCGAACCATTCATTAGATTCTCCGTCGCCGCAGGATCTTTGTACTTGTTTTCCTCGTCTTCGGACGTCCTCTTGCGTGCTGGGTCGTCTTCGATGAGATCGGCGTCGACGTCTACGAAGCGCTTCAAGTCACGCTTGGCTACCTGACCCTTGACCAGGTCCACCTTGCTGAGGATATTGATATGCGGCATCTCCAGCATCATCATAGCGCTCATGGCAGACAGCGTGCCGGCGAAGAACTTGGGGCGATCGATGACAAAGGTGGCTTCGAGCAAGTAGGCAGCGCACATGCGCATGTTGAGCGAGCCCTGCATCAGCACCTTGACGAGATTCGGGAGTATAGGCACGTGTGTGTACAGCTCAATCTGACCGGGCATGTCGAAGACAATCAGGTAGTCTTCGGTGACCTCTTCGAGCGGGTCGGTTAAGAAGTCGAGGTTCTCCATGAGGAACTCGAAACAGTAGATGAGTCCACCATTGGGGCCGAGGCCCATCTCGTCCATGACATCTTCGAGCGAGATGAGGTCTTTGATGTCGAGGTCGGGCTCAAAGGCAAAGTCTTCGGCGGCGGGGTCGAGGTTGACGTAGAAGCATGGACGCTTGTTGTTTTGGAGGTGCTGGATGAGGGCGGTGCAAAAGGTAGATTTGCCTGAGGCTGCTGGGCCCTGAAGGATGTGTCAGTGAGAAGGAGCGAGGTATAGATGTGAGATACAGTGTAGTAGACAAGAGTGGGGCCAAGGTAAGAGGGAGCAATGACAACGGCTGCAGTAACAAAGAGAACGACATACCATGACCAGAGTTCCATATTTACTCATACTTTCTCGCGGTAGCCCTCTACAACAGGAACAGGAACAAATAGCACAGGCAATCCGAGGGGAAGTTGAGACAACAGTGGGTGGGCACGTCACTCTGGTCTCCTAGAAGCATGCGACGCGGGGACAATTTTCTGCCATGACAGGACGAGGGCGGTCAGGGCGATGTGGAGAGGGCACGGGATTGGCTGTCTGGGTCCGAGATGGGGGAAAACAGTGTTGTCGGTCAAAACGAGTCAAACGGACAGAATGGCGTGCCCTGAGCCCTTGCCGTCGTCGGTTGTGCATGGAAACCCCCCTTTTTGTTCCTTTGAGAAAGGCTAGGACGGCTATGTACAAGTAGAGTATTGTTTAGGAAGCGTAGGCAGCCGGCAAGTACTCTACATGTGTTTTGCGTTCCTAAGAGCAACAGTGCCGGGGCGCCCAGGCGGCCCCTGTTGCACGTTTTTTCTTCGGCAGATTTAATGAGACGACGCCAGAGCAACCCCGTCTCCATAAATCTTACGCTGCCCCTCCATTCCTTTCTCCCCTCACTCCCGCTCCCTCTCCTGCCATATATACATATACATCAGTACGCCCGGTCGCAAGTCCTACACTAGCATTCGCTGCTTGACTATAACTCTTCTCCCCCCTGAACCCTCAACCCGCCATCATGACTGTCCCCAACGGATCCAACGGCACTGCGCCTTCAAACAAGGTACCCCAGAGAACCCTTGTCCAATGCACCCCCGCCATGTCCTTACCATTCTCCAGAGCACATTCCTCTTCACCTCCGAGTCTGTTGGTGAAGGCCACCCCGACAAGATCTGGTGAGCAGCCCTTCTCTGTTTTCTATCGCTCCTTTCCCTTCCACCGCTTTTGGTTGGGCTGCAGCTGGACATGGGCCGGGCATACGATAAGAAAAAGCCGCACTCGCCCACGATGCGCGCCCATTACGCAAGTCCCATCTCGGGCTCCGAATGGCCAGCTAACACCCTTCCAGTGATCAGGTCTCAGACGCCGTGCTCGATGCCTGCCTGAAGGAGGACCCACTCTCCAAGGTCGCATGCGAGACTGCCGCCAAGACCGGTATGATTATGGTCTTCGGTGAGATCACCACCAAAGCCCGCCTCGACTACCAAAAGGTCATCCGCAATGCCATCAAGGAGATTGGGTACGACTCGTCCGAGAAGGGGTTCGACTACAAGACCTGCAACGTCCTCGTCGCCATTGAGGAGCAGTCGCCCGACATCGCCCAGGGTCTGCACTACGAGGAGGCCCTCGAGAACCTTGGTGCTGGTGACCAGGGTATCATGTTCGGCTATGCCACCGATGAGACCCCAGAGCTCCTACCCTTGACCGTCCTTCTTTCCCACAAGCTCAACTCTGCCATGACCGAGGCCCGCAAGAACGGTTCCCTTCCCTGGCTGCGACCCGACACCAAGACCCAGGTCACCATTGAGTACGCACACGACGGCGGCGCTGTCGTCCCTCTCCGTGTCGACACCGTTGTCGTATCTGCCCAACACAGCGAGGCCATTACCACCGAAGAGCTCCGCAAGGAGATCAAGGAAAAGATCATCAAGAAGGTCATCCCCGCCAACCTCCTCGATGACAAGACGGTCTACCACGTATGTCCACACTCCCATGTATGCCTTCCGCAAAGTATACGCTGACTTGTCCAGATTCAACCCTCAGGTCTCTTCATCATCGGAGGTCCCCAGGGTGATGCCGGTCTCACTGGCCGCAAGATCATCGTCGACACATACGGTGGATGGGGAGCCCACGGTGGTGGTGCCTTCTCCGGAAAGGACTACTCCAAGGTCGACCGCTCTGCTGCCTACCTTGCCCGCTGGATCGCCAAGTCCCTTGTAAAGGCCAAGCTCGCTCGCCGCGCGCTTGTGCAGCTTTCCTACGCCATTGGTGTCGCCGAACCTCTCTCCATGTTCGTCGAGACCTATGGCACCTCCGACAAGTCCTCAGAAGAGCTTGTCCAGATCATCCGCAACAACTTTGACCTACGACCCGGTGTCATCGTCAAGGAGCTCAACCTCACCAACCCCATCTACAACCAGACCGCCAAGAACGGTCACTTCACCAACCAGAGCTTCACCTGGGAGCAGCCCAAGGAGCTCAAGCTCTAATTTTGCCTTTGGCTCTTTTTACATTTTGCATGCGAGGGATTGAATCAACTTCATCCTACGAGGTCAAGATTTTTACAACGAATATCGCGACGACGACATGATATGCATACTACTGTGGGAGGCGGGCAAACGAATTATCCAGCTTTTCAACAAGTGCTTCACGGCGTCAGGGCAGCTAATACCCTTTTGATACCAGCCCGTTTTCTTTTTTTCCAAAAAGTTTCTCTCACATGCAAACATTTCATTGCACCATAGATTAGCGCAGGTCTCGGGGCGGACTTGTCGCATGGCGTTCGCATCTTGGACATTTCAACATTCAGGCCACAGTGCGTTGTCAACGCGCACGCTGGGGCTCGGGCGCGGATCATGCGTCGCAAAGGAGGATACAAAGTAGAGAGAATTGAACCTAGTTGAAGCTGTCTTGTCGTTTGGCAATGACGGCCAGGGTTGTCACCATAGTTGACTTTTCTGCACCTTGTCGATGATGGCGTGATGGAGGCAATGAGAAGCAGTGGTATCATGTGAATGTGAAAGGTTAACCTGGCAAGGCTCTACAGTGTATGCTACAGTCTTGGAGTACAGATCGATGCAACAGTATAGTGGGACTTCGCTTTCAAGGTCGCATGTCTGTATTCCCTTTCGTGACGTCCCCTCGGTGCACCCGCCAGACGATGGTATCCCGCCACCCCAAGACTGGATTCTCAAAGTCTTTGAATCGCGTCTCATACACCTCAAACCCAGCCTTGCGCAATACATTGTGGCTGGTGACATGTTCGGTGTCGGTATGTGCTTCAGCGTAGTCGAACCTTTCGACTGGCTCTGTTGGAATCGTCCTGTCCTCTGGACGGGAGTCGGTGGGGTCGTCAGGGTTCGGTGGAATAGAAGCCGTTTGCGAGGCATCGAAATGAGCAAAGAACAGCGGCAAAAAGGCACGCAGGGCTTCAGTGGCGTAGCCATAGCCCCAATATGAGGGGTGGAACATGTAGCCTATCTCTGGGGCGCGGACTGCGCCTATAAGTCCGATGACTCGGGGTGTGTACTGAAGCGTCGTCGTCGCCGTCGTGTCTAAAGGAGGGAATGCTGGGAAGGTGGATGTTAAAGGCGTCTTGGGAGGACTGTTGGGTGGATCGGTAGAAGGGTTCGAAGCAAGAGCCGAGGGCAGAAGTTCGATTGCGAAGTTCCAGTTTATGGGGGATGCGTGACAGCCGTGTATCCAGGCGCGTGTTTTGGCGAGGTCAGCCGAGGGGAGGAGGGAGCTGTCATTCTGTCAGTCAGGGCCTACGATGATTGCGTTCCGCATGAATATTGCATTGTCATAGGAGAGATATAGCAGAGTCCAGAGCAAAAAGAGTGACTTACGTGTGCTTCATAACCTCTGCATCTTGGTGCATCAAGAGCACATCCTCCGCATCCTCCATCGCAAGCGGCCGCAACAGCAACCTCGCTGTCCTAGCCACAATCTTGGAGTCGACAACTACCATCTTCTTTTACTGCCACAGCGGAAGTTCGAAAGCAAACCATCTTTGCGCCGTTTCCAAGTTTTGTGCACCGATGATGCGCCAGATCAAACCATGGAGCTCGAGCGTCGCATCGAGAAGACGCGTTAATGAGGTAATGCGCTAGCCGGCTGGAGCCACGACTTTGTTGACCGACTATTAACCTCATCTGTTGTCCTGCTGTCCAACACACCGCATCCACACGCCGGCCACCAATCACCATGGCGTCCTGAAGCCAAATTCAACGACTTTTCCAAACCTTCTCGAGACTTGCTTGGTTGTCTTCAGACTCGAACCCACGAACCAATCATGTCGAATGCCATTCTTTCCGCTTCCGCGAAGGGCGCTACCTTTCTCATCCTGCTGCAGGTGGCATCGCGAGCGCTGACTTTTGCCGTCAATCAAGTTTTGCTGCGGTTCCTCGAGCCAAAGCTCCTCGGTGTATCTGCACAGCTGGAACTCTTCTCCATTTCCGTCTTGTATTTTGCACGGGAGAGTCTACGTGTGGCATTGCAACGCCAGGCGCACGGTACGCAGGCCGTGGTCAATCTTTCTTATCTCGCCGTGGGGCTTGGAACGCCGTTGGCATATGGACTGGCGATAGCGTGGATGAGATCTGATTACCCCAATGTTCCTTACTTTACGGAGGCGCTGATTCTCTATTGCCTTGCCACATTTCTTGAGTTACTCTCGGAGCCGGCGTTCTCGGCTGTGCAGCAGAAGCTATTGTATAAGACTCGAGCATCCGCGGAGAGTTCTGCTACGCTGGTGCGATGTTTGGGTACCTGTGGTTCTGCCATCTTGGCCAGCTGGGCTGGACTTGATATCGGGGTGTTACCATTTGCGGTCGGGCAGTTGGCATACGCTCTGACACTTGTTGTTGTGTACTCGTACCAAACATGGCCGGTTGCAAGGACGGATGGCTTCTCCTTGTTCCCTGTGAAGGTTGCATCTACAGAGGAAGATCCGGCCCTACTCGATTACTTTTCGGCCCCGCTACTTCAGCTCACGGGATCACTCACTCTGCAGTCGAGCTTGAAGTATGTCTTGACACAGGGCGATTCGCTCCTCATTGCCGCGCTGGCATCTCTCGCTGATCAAGGTGCATATGCATTGGCTTCCAACTACGGCGGACTCATCGCACGCATGTTATTCCAGCCTATTGAAGAAAGTAGCCGGAACATGTTTGCGAAACTCTGCGCTGACACGGAGTCACCACGAAGCACCAAAGAGACGAAGAAGTCAATGCAAAAGGAAGAGCAAAAACAGAATCTCGGCCAAGCCTCACGGGTCCTGACGACCATCCTACGTCTTTACTTGATCATTTCACTCTTCGCAGTTACCCTTGGTCCCGTTCTTGCTCCCACGCTCCTATCCATTGTCGCCGGCAGGAAGTGGTCTGCAACGTCAGCATCCCAGGTCCTATCAACGTACTGCTTCTATATCCCCTTTCTGGCCATCAACGGCGTGACCGAAGGCTTTGTTGCCGCTGTCGCTACCAACAAGGAACTGTATGCCCAATCTGTGTCGATGGGCATCTTCTTCTTCCTCTTTGCAGGCAGCGCATGGTTCTTCATCGGACAGCTGGAACTCGGTGGCAGCGGCGTGGTGCTCGCAAATATTGTGAATATGGGTCTACGTTCGATTTGGAATATCTGGTTCATCAAGAGCTTCTTCGGGCGGAGAGAGTCGGGGTTCAGTGTGTTGGGCACACTACCGTCACTGACGGCTGCTGCGCCTGCAGCTGTGGTCCCTGCCCTGATGCGGACGAAACCTGGCATTCGATTTCTTTCGAGATTTGGTGTGGTGGGGGAGCTGGTTAGCATGGGGGTGATTGGGGGGGTCTATGTCCTCCATGTGCTTTGGTTTGAGCGGCGGTTCTTGCGGGATTGCTATCTTATGCTGAGGCCGTCTGGAACTGCTCCAGCGCGTCAAAAGCCCGAGACAGTAGCGAGCCAATAGGGAGATATCTTCATGACCAGGCTGAAGCATTTCGTCTCGTACACACAATGAGACAAGAGTAGATCTCCAGAAGGGCAGCAAAGTCTAAAGCCTTGTTTAACCGCTCTGGCGACATCAGAATCATGCAAATTCCCATCTGGAGTCATCTGGAAGGTCCCACTCGTGGACAGATGCCATGTTCGAGGACCAATGTCCAAACCCGACTGAGGGGCACTAGCGATTGAATTTTTTACCTGCATCATCCTGCAAGCCGCTTAGATGAACCAACATCAACCGTCGTCGCTTCCAACCAGTGACCAACCCTCTCGAACTTGCTGCAGAAAGTTTTTTTCTTTTTTTTCTCTTAGCACATCACACGACCGTACTATCGAGTTTCCTGGGGGTAATCGAGGGGTAACAGAAACTCCATTCTCCGGATTCGCAATTCCAGTCGTCTCCACTCTGCAAAAAGCTGGGGGTAATAGCAACCGTTTAAAGCCTTGGCAACATCACCCAACACGGTACCAGCCCTGGCGCATGAACAAGCTGCCGAAGCGAACGAACCCCCGCAGGTAGTTACGAAACACGCCGAGAGGTTCTGCGGCTCGCACCGTCTGTGCGCTTTACAATACCACTGTACAGTACACACCAAGTACGCGTCAGGATTCCCACGACTGCAGAAGAGCCGAGTGGGACGTAGCAAGTGTGCCATGGACGGGGACGAGTCAAGATACTACCATGGCTTGGTGGACATGGGCAGCAATGGCATACGTTTCTCGATAACGAATCTGACGCCCGCAACGCAACGGATACTGCCCCCTGTGTATCTCGATCGTGCGGCGATATCACTCTACGATGCTCAGTATGCAAATGGCAGTGTTGTGCCCATTCCCGAAGCCACGATCCAACAAGTGCTCAAGGGTTTTCGGCGATTCAAATCAACATGTAAAGATTTTGGCGTGCCCGAGCATCAAATCAGAGTCGTAGCTACAGAGGCCACTCGCAAAGCATCCAATTCTGAAGAGTTTCGGGCCAAGATCAAGCAGGCTACGGGATGGACTGTGGAACTGTTACCAAAGGAGATGGAAGGCAGGATCGGAGCATTTGGTGTCGCCAGCTCGTATGAAAATGTCACGGGGCTCATGATGGATCTCGGGGGTGGAAGTACACAACTGACGTGGATCACCACACAAGATGGCGAGGTCACCATGAGCGAGAAGGGAAGTGTCAGTCTGCCCTATGGTGCTGCTGCCCTTTCCCGACGACTAGAAGCCGCAGGACGTCCTAGCAGCCAGAGCTTCAAAGCCTTCGAGTCAGAAGTCGTTGCAGACTTGCAGAACGCTGTGCAGGCTATCCAGATCCCACAGAGTCTCCTAGAGCGGTCCAATTCGCCCGAGGGCCTCTCCCTCTTCCTTTCTGGCGGCGGGTTCAGAGGTTGGGGCTTCATTCTCATGTCCAAGCACGCTATCAGGCCTTACCCTATTCCCATCATCAACGGCTTCCGCACCACGCACGATCTATTTCACGACACGGAGGCTGTGCAAGCGGCCGTCCAAAAGGAGGATACACCAGACATCTTTCGTGTATCGGCAAGACGTGCCAGCCAAGTTGTAGCAGTTGGGTTTCTGGTCACCTGTCTATCACGAGCACTACCCAGTATCATGGATGTCCACTTCTGTCAAGGCGGTGTGAGAGAAGGTGTGTACTTTGCGGACATGGACCCGGTCGTCAGGAAAGATCCGCCGCTGGTAACAGCCACGAGACCGTATGCTCCTCAATCGGCGCCCTTACTGGCCAATCTGATGATGGAAGCCATTGCCCCCCCGCCTCGGGCACCGCAGCAATTGATATTCAGCCGTAGTCTGGTGGAGGCTTTTGTACAAGGCATGTTTGCACACATGGCAAACACCAAGGATCTGCGCAGTGGATCAGCACTGCGCAGCACAACGACGGGTATCTTCTCTGCTGCGCATGGACTGAGTCACGAGCAACGTGCGATGCTGGCCATTCTTCTCTGCGAGCGCTATGGAGGATATGGCTCGCTGAGTCCTACGGAGCAAGACTTTTACAGACGCATGCTACAACTCGTTCCTGATGGAATGGAGTGGTGGTGCATGTATCTTGGCCGCATTGCTGCTGTCATTGCCAGCGTGTATCCAGCTGGGCTAGTCAGGGAAGAGAGGCTGGGCTTGAAGGTGCAGTGGGTGATGACGAAGAAGGACAAGGAGAAGCTGTGTATTGATTTTGGCTTCGTCAAGGAGTTGGACGAGTTGGACGAGGGCTTGTTTGGATCGCTGGAAAAGGTCTCCAAGGCGGGTAAGAAGAAGAACTGGATGGGGGGAGGTGGATACAAGGTGATGGTCATTGTCAATGGCCATGAGCTGGCGGAGGAGTAGAGGTTTGGATGAATCTGTTTGTTAGAGGGCGTCGTGGGAACCCTGTAGGGGTTCGTGAAGTGTACACACACACACACACACAAAAGGAGTCACGATGTGTTAGCATGGTGCAGGGGTAAGTGGGGCGGATATGGTGAAGTCTAGAATGGAGATGGTAGGCTGTACAAGGTAAAAGTACCGATCTAGATGTGTAAGTGTGCACATCAGGTGGCCGCGAAAAAGAATAGACGGGGATGGCCTGCGGGCGGTGTGTGGTCCATGTGTTGTTGTTTGTCGTTTGGTGGACGAGTGAGAGCGGAAGCCACGGGCGGGCTACGTAGAGTAGGTACCTCACAAAGGTAGCCAAGGTAATCTGACCTCTTCAACGGACTGGTACGACTCAGCCGCAGCAGCCAGACTGGCCATGCTCGTCCCTTCTCGCACGAGAGACTGGTCCACGTGCAGCTCAGATGCAACAATGGACTTGCTGTGGAGCCACCACGTACCCGTTGAACCCGTCACAAGTACTGGGGACCGCCATGGACAGGGCTGGAGTGCGCTGGAGTGAGTAATCGGTAGCAGGATGGGGTTGCCAAGGATCGTGAAGCTGGCCGACCGGAACGGCCGTTGTCGCACGTGCGTGTATGTGTGAGTAAGAGAGAGAGAGAGAGAGAGAGTGTGTGTGTGTGTGTGTGCGTGTGAGAGAGTGTGTATGGGAAAACTCTGCAGATGCATCATCGTCCTATTGCCCGCAACGTTGCGTGGTTTTTGGACGCGTGGACGTCAGGGCCTTTGGAGCGATTACGTGAAGTTTCGATGCGGTGGACTAGTTAGCGGTTAAGTGGCGCCTGCCAATCCATGCACCCCTCCGGATTCCTGGGGAAGCTGCCGACTAATTCGGGGAGGAGGGGCGAGGGAAGGCGCACTCGGCCTTCCACAACGGCACAGGACCAGAGCTTACTACTGCCACTTGCCACTGTCACTGACTGCCATTGTTACGGCTAACTGGTACGGGCTACTACGGCTACTACGCTACTACTACTACTCAGTTTGCCTGCACAGTCCTGGGGATTCGTACAGAC